GAGAGATTAATTCAAACTGGACCAGGTGCAGAGAATGGAGTCTAGGATGATCAGGGGAATTGAGGGCCTATCTTATGAGAGGAGACTCAAAGAGCTTGGCTTGTCTAGCCTAGCAAAAGGAAGGCTGAGAGAGGATATGATTGCTCTCTATAAATACATTAGGGGGTAAACACCAGGACAATGTTGGCACAAGAACAAATGGGTAGAAACGGGCCATGAATAAATTTATTTATAGAAATAAGGTTTCTAACCATCAGAGGGGTGAAGTCTGGAACAGCCTCCCAATAGGAGTAGTGAGGGGGAGAAACTTAACTGGTTTTAACATGGAGTTTGATACCTTTTATGAACGGGATTGTATGTTGTGGTTGTCTGTGTCTCAATCAGGGTTTTGGAGCTGTGCCTCGGTTCTACTCCAGCTCCAGGCAAAAATCTGCAGCTCCATTGCTCCAGAGCTCCTCCGTGCTCCAGCTCTGGGTTCCGCTCCAAAGCCCTGGTCTCAATGACCCAGTAGGTTCCTTCCAGTCCCAAATTCCTGTATGATAGGGTTTGACTTTGTGAAAAGGGAAGACTTGTGTTCCTAAGAGCACAGCTGTAGTGCACTCACAATGTGAGCATAACAACATGGTCCTTGTTTGGACAGAAACTCTTCTTGTTAGATCAGGAGGGAACCGTTGTCATCTGTCAGTCTTTTACATTGGTTGGAGCTAAGGGGGTAATTAATTTTGATAGCCTTTTTGAAAAAGTCTGTCTTGCCCTGTGAAGGATGATATTGTGATGTGCAGGGGAAAATCTCAAGCAAAGGAATCAGTATCCTAAAGGAATCTGAATATTATAACATGCCAAAGACAGACATAACTAGTTCAGATACATATCGTAACTCTTCCAGAAGAGGGGTATAGCTTCTGAGAGGTTTAAGATCTTTCATCTGTGATCATAGAATCATAGAATATCAGGGTTGGAAGGGACCTTAGGAGGTCATCTAGTCCAACCTCCTGCTCAAAGCAGGACCAATCCCCAAATAAATCATCCCAGCCAGGGCTTTGTCAAGCTGGGCCTTAAAAACCTCTAAGGAAGAAGATTCCATCACCTCCCTAGTAACCCATTCCAGTGCTTTCCCACCCTCCTAGTGAAAAAGTTTTTCCTAATATCCAACCTAAACCTTCCCCACTGCAACTTGAGACCATTAGTTCTTGTTCTGTCATCTGCTACCACTGAGAACAGTCTGGATCCATCCTCTTTGGAACCCCCTTTCAAGTAGTTGAAAGCAGCCGTAAAATCCTCCCTCATTCTTCTCTTCTGCAGACTAAATAATCCCAGTTCCCTCAGCCTCTCCTCATAAGTCATGTGCTCCAGCCCCCTAATCATTTTTGTTGCCCTCCGCTGGACTCTTTCCAATTTTTCCACATCCTTGTAGTGTGGGGCCCAAAACTGGACACATTACTCCAGATGAGGCCTCACCCAATGCCAAATAGAGGGGAATGATCACATCCCTCGATCTGCTGGCAATGCTCCTACTTATACAGCCCAAAATGCCGTTAGCCTTCTTGGCAACAAGGGCACACTGTTGACTCATATCCAGCTTCTCGTCCACTTAACCCCTAGGTCCTTTTCTGCAGAACTGCTGCCTAGCCACTCGGTCCCTAGTCTGTAGCAGTGCATGGAATTCTTCCGTCCTAAGTCCGGGACTCTGCACTTGTCCTTGTTGAATCTCATCAGATTTCTTTTGGCCCAATCCTCTAATTTATCTAGGTCCCTCTGTATCCTATCCCTACCCTCCAGCGTATCTACCACGCCTCCTAGTTTAGTGTCATCTGCAAACTTGTTGAGGGTGCAGTCCACGCCATCCTCCAGATCATTAATGAAGATATTGAACAAAACCGGCCCCAGGACCGACCCTTGGGGCACTCCACTTGATACTGGCTGCCAACTAGACATGGAGCCATTGATCACTACCCATTGAGCCCGACGATCTAACCAGCTTTCTATCCACCTTATAGTCCATTTAGGGTTACCATATGTCCGGCTTTCCCCGGACATGTCCGGCTTTTGGGTCTTTAAATAGCCGTCTGGGGGGAATTTGTAAAAAGCTAAAAATGTCCAGGATTTCCCCCCGTACGGCTATTTAAAGACCCAAAAGCACTGACAGGGCAGCCGCGCTGGGGGAACCGCGGCAAGCCGGTGCCACTCACCTTTCCTCCCTGGGCCCTGGGGCAGCGCGCAGCTGAGCTCCTGGTGCGGTGGTGTCAGCCCACGGGGCCCGCCGCCCAGCCGGCAGGAGCCTGCAGAGCGCAGCCCTGCCCCTGCCCCGGCAAACAGAGAGGCAGCAAGGAGGTCTCGCCCCCCTGCGTGCTGCAGCGGGGCGGGCCTGTAGACTCAGGCAGAGAGACCCCCCCGCCCCTGCCCCTCTCCCCTCGACCCGACCCAACCGTAGGAAGGAGCCAGAGGGACTGGGAGGGATCTGGATGCTTCCTGGGAGCCACTCCAAGTAAGCACTGCTGGGCTGACCTGGCCCCCTGGCAGGTCCCTCTGGGGGGGCTCCCCTCAGCCCCACTGCCCTCAGCCCCCACCCGGATCTGTTCCCTCAGCCTCCCCCACAGTGCCCCCTGTTCCCCCACCCTCAATCTACTGCCCTCAGCCCCCCTGAACCTTTTCCCTCTGCCTCCCCCACAGTCCCTCCCCTCCCCCCCGATCATCTCACCAACCCACTGCCCTCAGCCCCCACCCTGACCCTGTTCCCTCAGCCTCCCCCGCAGTGTCCCCCCTGTGTCCCTCACCCTCAATCCACTGCCCTCAGCCCCCTGACCCTGTTCCCTCTGCCTCCCCCACAGTCCCTCACCTCCCCCCCCCAATCATCTCACCCTGCATGGATGTGGAAATCTGTCCCGGATTCCAGGCTCTCATTAGCCCCTGGGGCAAAAGATCAGCAGAGGTTTCCCAAGTGAAGTTTGCAGCCTTTGCTCAGACACAGACATTTTCACTTAAAAAAAAAAAAAAACCCCATCCTGACACCCATCTGCTCTGTCCAGATTTGCTGTTATCCCTGTTGAGGCCAAAGTGGTTTGAAAAATTAAAAATCTGTGACACCATTGTGTTGCTTCCCTCTGTGTTGCTCCTTAATCTGATGGACCTGCCGATAATGAATAAAGATGAATGCCCTGGGAGGAATGTGTCAGGCAGACAGTTTGTCAAGTAGGAAAGTGAATGCTGAAGTCCTCACAAAATGCAGAGGCTTTTCTTAACCTGAGCACTGAAAAAGAGCCAGATACCCTGCATGGGTTTGAAAGTGACAAGAGCCTAGCGACTGACCAGAGCAGCGCCAGGTTTGAAGTGATGAGGGTCTGTGGCATGAAGTCTGCATTTCCACTGAGGACTCTTCCATCGCCAGGGTAGCGCTGGTGCAGGTCTGCCACCCGGCACAGCAATGCTGAGAGGTGCCAGTGTAGACCTGACCCACTGCCCTCAGCCTCCACCCTGACCCTGTTCCCTCAGCCTCCCCCGCAGTTCCCCCTGTACCTCCCACCCTGAACCCACTGCCCTCAGTCCCTGCCCCTGTTCCAACAGCCTCCCCCACAGTCCCCCAGCTCCTCCCAACCCACTGCCCTCAGCCTTGCCCTACCCCAAATCTCTTCTTCAGCCTCCCTTGTCATCCCACCCCCATCACTCCCCCTGCTGTCCCACCCCCTCAACTTCCCCCCATTCCAGTCCTGCTCCCCTCTGTCTCATCCCCCTCCTGACCCTATCCCTCTCCCCAACTACCCGACCCTCCCCAGCCAAGCCCCATTGTCTTCCCCGCCCCGCCCCGCCCCACTCTACACAGCTCTCTCTATCCTGTCCCATTCATGCTCCCCTTAGCCCCTACCCTACTCCCCCCCATCCCAGACCTGTCCCATCCCCCTAAGATCCCCCCAGTCCCAGTCCTGTCCCCCTCAGTTTCTCCACCCTGCTTCCCCCAGTCCATCCCCACACACCCACCGACTCCCTCGACCTCCCTTCCCCAATCCCACTGCCTGGACCCACCCCCGTCCCACTCAGGACATGCATGAGAAAGAAGCAATGGGCTTAAATTGTAGCAAGGGAGATTTAGGTTAGACATTAGGAAAAACTTCATAACTGTAAAGGTAGTTAAGCACTTGACAAATTACCTAGAGAGGTTATGGAATAGCAGTCAGTGGAGTTTTTTAAGAAGTTAGACAAACACCTGTCAAGGATGGTCTAGTTGTTATTACTCAGTCCTGCCTCAGCGCAGAGTTTTGACTAGATGACCTGTTGATGTCCCTTCCAGTTCTACATTTCTGTGATTCACACTGTGCCACTGTCTAGTAGTAGTGGCACACAGTTCTCTGACATGCAGGTTTACAACATTGTAGTTAATATACAGGTTAGAGCATAGCAATTTTAAAGCTCTGCATGTTCAGACCAACTGAGCTGAAAATTGTGATCTTGTATTCAAAACTATTAAGATGTGGGCTGAAATAAAATCAGCATGAATTGCTCAACAATATCAATGGAATCAGCATTGTGCTGCTATGTATTGTAAAACATTACAGTGAAATCTTGCAAGTATTACATAGCACGCCACCTTGCCCAAGTGGTAACTAAGCATAACATTTTCCTGTTTCAACATTCTTAACTTGTATCCCTCCTAGAAGGTTTTTTTTTTTTTCTAAACACCGAATGCTGCTAAGTTATGAGTTTTAACAGTTTTTTTTTCTTTTAAACCACACCACTTTGCCTCAGCTCCAGCTCCACTCTGCCTCAGCATCGACCCTTCCCCTTTCTTTTGGTACTGGGAGCTAGCCAACCAACATACCCCCACTGAGTTTACAGTAGTCCTCTTACACTAGTTATAATTTCTCATTTTCTCCTAGTTCTTTTAAAAAATCAATTACAGATTCCCTCCTGCCGTATCCTCTGTCGTGAAAAATATCCAGTAAAACCAGATTCTCTACAAATCTGATAGTCAGGAACGCAAACGATCTTTTTTCAATAGGTGATAAATGTTTTGAAAGCATCATTTTTATTGCAATTAGTGTTTTGATGGCTTACATTCGAGCCTGATGCTGCGCACGCTGAGCAATCAACTCCCATTGTCCTCCATGACGAGGTTTTTTTCTTTTTTGGCTCCAATCACCAAAGTATTGGGGCACTTTGTAATTATACATTTACTGGCCATTTCATTTACAAATGTAGGCCCCAGGCCTGCAATCAGATCAAAGATGGGGCCACAGTGATTATGTTACATTATTATAATTGAACATACCAACTGCAGTAGTGCCAAGAGGCCAATCAGATGGGGGCCAGTTGCACTAGCTGCTATACAAACACATAGTAAATGACAGTTCCTGCCCCAAAAAGCTTTCAGTAAAAGGCCGCAGTTCAGGAAACGGTCCATAAGCACGTGCTTAAAGTTAAGCATTTGCTTGAGTCCACTGAAATCAATTAAGTAGGTGCTTAAAGCTAAACAAGTGTGTAACTCCTTTCCTGAAGCAGGGTCTAGAAGCCCAACCAGCAAAGGAGCTTCAGTGATTTAATTTCCAGAAATGCTGCCATGGTGCTATTGGTAATTTCCCCGTATATTGTTGTGCGTCCATATTCTCCAATTTGTGTTCTACTTTGTCCTCTGGAATACACAGCAATTTGCTGTATTTAACAACTCTCTCTCACACACATACAGAATCTAAGTTTGAAATGGTTTCATAAGAATATTTACATTTTTAAGAAGTGGACACAGGGCCAGATGAGCAAAGCGAGCACAAGCTGGCTTCAATTTGAGTGCAATGCTATGTTGCACATTAACTTTTGGAAAACTAGTACCTGTGTGTGCAATACAGAGCCTCTCCACACACAGGCTGGACAAATGGTTGGGTAGGTGTCAATTGCACCACTTCTGGCCACGCAACTGTTTCTGAGCGTGCATATACCATCTTTGGGGAAATTTGGCACATGGTGGGTGCCACCTTTAATTAAGAGCCAAACACAGGAGAGTGGATCCGTTGATTTCCAAGGGCTTACTCATGTGACTGACTATTCAACAAAATCAGTGAGAGTCTTAAAAATCTAACCCTAAATGTTTGGATTTCTTTTTTAAATGTTTTTTTTCCTGTTATCAACAGCTTTTATTAAAAAAAGAAAAAGTTAAATCAATTCTTCTTTGCTATGAAATTTAATGAGAACGCTAAGGACTATTTTATTTCCCTGGTGTAAAGACACACTGTGGGCCTGATCAGCAATGGGACTACTCACATGAGTAAACTCACACGTTTAAGCCTTTACAGGATCAGACCGTTACATTTCAAAACTTTTTCTTCTTCTTGTAATTGATTCTCTGTCTTACTTTGCCTATGAGTGATGTCAAGAAGAAAAAGTTATAGTAATGTGCTGGTTCAGTGTTTGAAATAGGAAATGCAATAGACCAGATTTTGCATTATGGGCTACATTGGGCCTCAAACAAATTGTGTGCATGTATCATAGGTAAGGTTGCCATCTGGATGGTTTTTAATCGACCTGGCTGGTATTTGTAGTGCCTTTGTGATTAAAAGCTTTAATCTGCCATTTGTGTTTCAATCTTGGTTGAAATTTTTCATTTTTCATTTTTCAAAGAAATTTCATTTTTTAAATTTTGTGTTGGTAGGGAAAATCGCACTTTCTCTCCTGTCTTTAAATTCTCCCTACCCCTCATTAAAAAGTGAGAGAAAAGGTCGTATTTTTTTCACACCAGTCATATTTTTTTTTAAATTGTTTTGAAAAGTTTCCATTGAAAAAGTAAATATTTCATGAAAAACTGCAAATGAAACAAAATGTTCCTTTTGAAAGAATTCATGAAATATACTTACCTTTTTTCAACCAGATTGATATGGGAGTGACAATTCCTCGGCCATCCTGAGTGTGCATGCACAGAGACTGGTGTGGTAGGGACATCAGGAAGAGCTGCCGTCATGGTAGGATGTATCATAACAGCCACAGCCCCTTCCAATATCAGGTTCCCAAATCATCCAGTTGCTGATATTGGTCCCCTGTTGGGTTATATGAACGGAGGCAGGCAGGGAAATTTGGAGACATAGTGAACTGCCAATGCAGCCCTATATACAAGCACAGCAAAGCGTAATTATTTAAGAAATGGGG